AAGAAGCAACCAAGGTGTTTTTCAGTAGGTGAATGGATAAATTATGGTACATCCAGACAATGAAATATTACTCAGTGCTAAAAAATATAAATAAATGAATATATTAACTATGAAGATGTGAAAAGACATGAAAAAGACTTCAATGCATATTAATAAGTGAAAGAAGCCAATGTAAGGGTGCTATGTACTGCGTGATCCCACGGAGGACTTGCAGGCAGTGAAACTATTCTGTGTGATACTGTAGTGGTGGATAGAAGTCATTTCACTTTTGTCAAATCCCATGGAATGTACAATACCATTGGTGATGGGGTGGATCTTAGTGTGTGAGGGAGGCAGCATATGGGAAATCTCTGTACCTTTGTGCTAATGTTGTCACTGTAAAAAGTGCGCCAAGAAATAAATCTTTTAAAAAATTGAACTAGTTATGGACACAGCAGCAGCCCACCCTTGCTCAGGATGGCTGGGAATCAGTTCTTTTGATCTCTGGCCGCCTGCGGTGTGGCAGTAGCGCCATGCTGATAGCGCAGGACGGGGAGGAACAAGGAATCCCTGCTGCCCAGGCTGCCTGGCAAGGCGCTGGTGGCTCCGACTGCTGCTGCCCGTGACCAACCTGCGAAACCGCTGTTCCCGCTCAGGGGAGGCAGAAGGTCCCCAGTAGGGTGGGGCCCCTGGCGCACCGCCAACAGGCATCAAAATCCATGGACAATCCCAAATATGTTGTCAATGATGAGCATTGGCCTGGACCTATTTTGGGGCTATTTGATCATTAAAGAAGATTTCAATGTTGCACTAAGAGGTTTGCTTTCGTTTGACTAACCCCTTTGTTGAAGTGCTCTTGATCCATTTGCTGATAAAATATCTATTGGTATTTTATATACAAGCGTAACATATGTAGATCTTAATTTCAAGAGATGTAATATTGATTGCTGCTTTTTATCTTAAATACTGAATTCTCCCAACGCTGCCAGTGCTAGTTAAGTATATCAATCTTTGCTGTACTACTGCTGAGTTAAAACTAACATTCATCAGCAAGGTAAATACAGCCGTCCAGTTAATCCTGGTGGCAGCTTCTCTGGCAGCTCCAGTTTTCAATTATGCTGACAGCTTTTATTTCAGATACTGCCGTGTTTTAGAGATTTCACTAAAGCCATGTCAGCTCCATGTCACTATCATTACAGTGGTGAAACAGTTCAGGTGATAAAAGGCAGATAAAAGTCAACCATCACCATGGCAAGGAAGCAATATACTACAGCAGCAGGAGTGGAAATCTACAGTTTTCCTGTTTTGGTGTTTAGCTTGATAAAGGACTTGTCTGAACAAACCATGTCATCAAAATTGAAGTATTGCATATTGAAACTAAGCTTGATCATGTCATCTGCAGAATTTCCAATGTGTTTTTAAATATAAGCAAATTATAAATTAGAATTTTTAATCTTAAAGTTCTTGATTAATTATGTAACAGATAACTTAATCCAATTATTGTTGGGCTTTTTTATATTTTTTAAATAGTCCAGAGCATGGGAACTGAAGAGTTGATATGTTCTCTCTGTGGACAATCTAAGCAGAATTTAGATTGTTCACAAAGCAGAAGGGAATTTCCTGGGATAAAACATATACCCTACACAACTTCTCTCTGTTTTTATGTTTTATTTTTTAGATCTGTGTACACATTAACAGTTCATTAGATAAATATTTGATCATTTAGGATAGGGAGAGTGAATAATGAAAATAAAGCTAGCTTAGCTGTGAAGTAAAGTTGTGAAGAGATTTAAAATGCAGTAAGTTTTAATCTGAAAATAAGTAAGATGAAAGAAAATAGAATAATGAAGTCAGTAGTCTTCCAGCCTCTCAAGTACCTATTAGTTTATGTATCAGGACAGGTAACAAAGGGAGTTAAACCATGAGAACACATCCATTAGTCTTTGCATCTAAAAGGCAGTGAGTTACACATGACTTCACACTGGGTTTCCAGTGTAGCAATGTTTGTATGGTATTGGAATCTGTGCCCATATGTTGTGTAAATAATATGAAACTGTATATTTTTCAAAGGTGATTTTTAAAATGTTGGGAAATCTTCTTTGGTTCAGATATCAAAGGAAGCAAAAGCTGGAAAATTGTATTAAAAAAAGGAAAAAAAGAGAAAGCAAGCAAGACATATTCCCAGTAAATTTTATTTTCACCAGTTGCATAATGTTTGTAGCATGTTCACTCATTCTCATTTTAACAGTCACTCAGGTCATCTATAGCCTTTTGTGACTAAGTAGTATTGCCATCTTATAGAAAAGTGGGAGAGGGAGAAACAGAGGTCCCTGGTTACAGTGGGGAAGAAAGTCAAGGGAATATGATGAATAGTGAAAATGGGCCCCACCTGGGGAGAACAGAACAGCTCAGTGGAGCCCTAGGATACCTGAGAGGCTGCTCAGGAAACAAACCCTGAACTCCCTTATGCCTTACAAGGAACTTCAGCAATAGGGTAGCACCAAAAGAATCCATTTCTGTGATTTATCACCTCCTTCCTCATCATACCCCAGCATTCCAACTGACTCCCCATTCCTGCTTCCCCCACCTGTACCAATCTTTCTACAGCAGGTTGGGACACATCAGAGTCAAGGACATGACAAACAACTCCTAGATAGGCAGTTTTGTATAGAGAATGAAGAAGGACATCAGAGAATTTATGGGCAGCCACCATCATGGAGCTGGAAAGAAACTCCATTCCCCTGCTCCAGGATCATCCCTTAGTAGTCACTCCACCACTGAATGTATACAGTGGGACCGCTGACACCAGCGCCTCCCATCTCACCTGAGAATGGCAATGATGTGACCCTGCTCCCTCCCCTGGTCTGAGAGTTCCTAAAGAGCAAGCCCTGATGTGACCCAAAAGGCTTAGTAGAGGTTATAGGAATAAGGGTATGAAGCAGTTTTTCCTGCTATTTGCTAGCTTGAGTAAGTTGGGGGAGTTTGCTGCCCACCTAATAGAGTTCTGAGAACTAAGGAAGAATGCAAGTACAGCAAATCACTTGCTGTTTATCTCATCAAATGTTCAGTGAACAGTGGGGAGTCATTATATTTTGTCACAACAAATTTGTAGAAGAACCAGGTGAATAAACAAACCAGATGATACTGCCTCCCAAGGTTCAAAATCCATCCTCTTGGGGTCCAAAAACCCAGTGTCCTCCCCCATTCCCTGTCCTATTACAACACATCACTGGCTGCCCCAGTTCCAGGTCAAATTGGGACAAGAGAAGGCTCCAGGTGAGGTCTTTCAGGAGGTGCAGCACCTGGTCACTAGAAATGCTCAGCACAGCTTACTAGGTGTGTCCCACCCCACCTGAAGTGAGGCAGGGTTCCTTCCACTGAGCTTTATAAAGGGACTGCTTTTTGTTCAAGTGCACACATTTCACTCATTCTCTCCTCCAAGACACTTCCTCAGCTCTGGTAAATTGGCAACTGGAGGGATTGTACCCTGTGCCCAGCCTACTCTGTTGCCTACAGAGGCTGGGGGGAGGTTCAGGTAAGTACTTGGGGAGTCCGAGGCTCATCACGGCCCTGTCACCAATGAGTTGTGTGGCCTTCATCCCCCTCCAGTCTGAGAAATTTCATTGTACTTCAAGGTCACGTGACCAGATCATTGCTCTTTTTTGATCTTTTGGGACAACTCCTGTGGATGTCCCCAGTGGGAGATGAGGATGAGGTCCTCCCTTTCTTCCCTGTTTTCTTCCTTCCTGGATTCAGCTTCCTGTTAGAGTCCCATAAGGCAAAGGACTAAGGGTCCCCTTAAAATGCTTGGAAGATTCTCCTAACCCTCTAAGCCTGGAACCCCCCACTCACCATACCCCTGGTGAGATGATTTGAACCCACTAGTCAAGGAATTGATAAACCAAAACTCCCTTACTTCCAATCAAATCCTGAGAAATGCCCAATGACCCTCTGAGCACAGGTCCCAGTCCCTAACCTCAGACACAGTTTTCAGAGGCTTGTGTGGCTTCTCTTAGTGACTTACCAGCATGAAGCTTTCTCCCACATTGGGAGGCAAGGGTCTTTTGTCAGATGCCCACATGTATGAGCCAAGGTTATTTTCTGACTCTTGGGGAAATCTGGGGTATAAGAGCTGCACTGTTCAATTTCTCTGGCTTGGAGAACCCAAACTCTGAATGCTAGCTGAAGTATCTACTTTGTGAAATCAAATAGTGTCTTACTTAGAGTAAGGCTTTGGTGGCCCAGAAAGAGGATAAGAGCACAGGGCTAATAAATCCCAAGAAGAGGCAATCTGAAGGATTGTCCCACCAAATAGCTTAGGAACCAGGGAGTTATTTCTGTTCATTTTAGATCTGAGACTAACTGTAGCCACCAGTTGCCCTTTCTCACTTACAGGGTAGTGAAGGAAGATCTCTTCAAGACCGGGCTGTGTTCTCTGCTCACAGCCACATTCATATACCCACACCTGGAACCTACACCCCATTTCCTGCAAAGCTTGCAAAGAGTCATGAGTGAGCCCTCAGGTGTCTTGTTCATGACGCAATCCAGGATAGTCAGAGAGTAGATCACTGAGGACATCGACCTGCCCCCATAACTCTAATATTGACTTCGAAGCTGAAAGAGATGGATTCCATGCTTTTTGAAAAAGGAGCTACCAAATGCTGGGTGTAGCTGGGAGTTCCCACCTCGAGGTTCAATCCTTTTTCTGTGTGGTTGGCCCCCAACTCTCCCTGCTTCTACATCTTGTCGGTGCTGCCCACAGCTAGACTTTTGCTGTATGCTCTTTCTTCTCTTGGACCCTAACATGGTTGGGCCCAGATTCCAGACATGGTCCTCTCCTTCTTCTTTTGAGCAATTAACCCCAACACACTGAAAAATAAAATTTCCTTCTGCTGCACCTTAGCCCTCTTTCCTTCCTCAGACCTCAACCCTGTACCATCACCCACATTTAGAGAACCACATGTGGGTGGAAGAAAAACAAAGTCATTGTCTCGCTCCCCTGCAGTTTTTTGAAAGCAAAGATGAGCAACACTCAAGCTGAGAAGTCCGTGGTTGGTGTGATTAACACGTTTCACAAATACACAGAACACAATCTGATCAGCAAGCCAGGAGTGATGAAGATGATGACAGAGAATTTCCCCAACTTCCTCAAAGCCTGTGTGAGTGGGGGTTCTAAGGATGAATTTTTTGCTCTGTGGCCTTGTACAAGTCAGCCTCATTCTCTGGTTCTCAATTTTTTCATCTCCAAAAAGAGTAATAAGACTTCATTTGTTGGGTTATTATGGATATATAAGGAAATGATGGGTGTGAAAATGGGAAAGAGTTGTTTGGATGTGAAGGGTTGAAATCCAGTGGTCAAAAAAGTGCCACTTAAAGTCAGTGAACAGGTCCCCTCCCAGGTGTCATTTTTACCAACTCCGTGAGTCAGAACCTCACATGTGCAGGCCCAACCTCTTGAAAGCTCTGCATCAATGTCTCTGATTTTGTGGTAAAGTGCTAGAAATACCACTACTAACAGAAGTTAGCACCTCCTTTACAACTGACAAAACTTGTTAACAAATTTGAAAACAAACAAACAAAAAAAAATGGATTACTAGGCACCAAGAACAGGGAACCCAGAACAAAGATGTTTTGTTGGAAAAAGAGAAGAAAGAGGAGGAAGGTTAGTTAGAAAATGACAAGAACACAGCGTTAGAGCCTATTTTGAGTCCCTGTGGTAGATCTAAGGTGGGAAGTGCTCAGATAGGCTAGGGACACAGGAGGTAAGAGGTTGGAGACTTCCTTCACCCAGCTCATTCACTAGAGCGCCTGTGGGAATAGCCTGCTACCCACCAGGCCATCTGTCTTTCTGGCCCGTGTTTAAGCCAAGGGATCTCCATAAAGAACTCTGGGGGTAGCACTAGCATCCCTGCCCATCTTTGCTACATGTTCTGGTCACACCCCCACAAGCCAAAACCCTGAAGCCCTAGACACTTGTCTCTATCTCCTCCTATGTCATCTAGGCCATGACTTCTTTGTGACCGACTTTTCCTTCTTTGTATGTTTCTCTCTTGCAGAAGAAAGGGGACACAGATTACTTGGGCAACATCTTTGAGAAAAAGGACCTGAACAGAGATAATATGGTTGACTTTTCTGAGTTTCTATCCTAGATTGGGAACATAGCCATAAGCCTCCACAAACAGAGCCATGGGGCAGCACCCTGCTGTGGAGGAAGCCAGTGATCCCTGACCAGTTAGGGGCCTCCAGAGACTACAAGAAACAATAAAACATCTCTTCCCACCAGACCCTACCTCTTTTCTCTTTGGTAACCTATGCTGTCAAAACTACCCAACTTTAGTTCACTTTATTGGAGAATCTTCCCTGGGGCATTCACCCTTGAAGGGGCCAGCAGTGTCCCTCACTGTGGCTTTCAGTCACACTGAGCCAACTGGTGGACACAGGACTTTATGTCTACCTCTGTTCCTGCAGCTATCATGTCAGCCTCCAGGGTGGAGGCCAGTGCAAAGACTTCTGCCAGGGTACAGAGATATTTTTCTTTGTCAACGCATAGATCAGGGTTATTCAGATACTACACAGAGAAAAAGCCAATGTATTTCTCACTGTACTCTGTCCCCACCACCCCACCCTGTCCTTGCATCAGCTATTCCTCTCAGTCATAGGGAAGACTGGCACCACTTAAATAGGACTTCCTTGGAGGGTGTTGTAGTTCAGGGGTCTTTGTTGCTGTGAATGGAAGGCTCAGCAGTTCTCTCCAGAGTGGCTTCCTTGTCCTGTGGCCTGAGTTCCCGAGACTGTGTCCTTGTTCCTATGCCATGGACTTGCGTGTAAGTGCTGTGTGGGTGACCTAGTGGAAGTGACAGTTTCCTGATGCTGAGCTGATCCACAATGATAGTTTGCTAAACACCAGGGAGTGAATGTCTGTGAATACCTAGGTGAAGATGAAAGTTTCAGGATTTGAGGAACTCAAGGTAGTCTGGGAATTCAGAAAACTGATAGGACCCAGGTAAATAAACCAGACTGAATATGAATAAAGTAGCACTAGTAGAAATGCTGTTAAGGACAAGAAAGGTGAGCTCAAACTGAGGATCATAAATTACAGCCCCTCTATCAGTCAAGTCAGTGGGAAGTTTGTTACAGGTAGTCTACTCCAGCTCAGGCATTGTGCTAAAGGGTGAAAATGCAGCAAAAAGCCAGACACAGAGCTGCCTTAGCAGAGCAAGTCTCTACTCAGAAATTAGGGTCTATGTGAGAGGCATAGGTAAAAGGATTGTAGTCCTTAGACCTTTTCTGAAAGATAACTAAAACAATAAGTGCTAGAGACATGGCTCAAGTGGTAGAGCCTTTGCCTTGAAACTGAGTTCAAACCCCAGGATAGCCCCCCCAAAAAAGTCATCTTCTCTTTACACATTTAGAGGATGAAACATCAATACTTAACCCCAAATAAATGATCTCTCCCTCATTTGTGCCTCCTCCATCCTGAGCCCACATCTGCCATAGCAACCATTTCACATCATTTTCCCCTTCTGACTTTGAATTACAGAGGCAAAACTGCTACCTTACCTATATCTCCAGCATAGAGCATTGTCCCTGTCTCCTGGTTCAATATTATCCAGTTTAAACAGTAGTCCAAAAATCTAAATTTCCAGATAGACGCAGGCTGCGAAGTATAGGGGAAGGCCCCAGAATATGAATCCAGGCCAAAAGAATAATGCAAACCACTAAACAACTTCTCTCAGAACTTAAGTCCTGATCCCCCAAGAGAAGAGAGACTCCATATAAGGTAGGGTCACTGGACCTCCAGGTCCATTGCTATCTTATAGAAGACAGCTATATCCTAAGGTGGTATTGTTCCTCTTTATTCTTCCACCTCATGTTTAACCTTATAATGTTCCGTTCAGTAGGCAATGGCATATTAAAAACAGCATGAAATATATAAACACTTACTCATCCTGTTCATCTAGGAATAAAACAAGAGAGCCTTGTATAATGTCCCTGCAACTAGTTCACACTCTCAAAGTCTCTTGTGCTTATGCCAGTTGGGCCCATTACATCAATTTGAATTTTGTATTATACATGCATGTCACCTCAGAGAGGCAATCTTCATAATGTCAGACACCACATATCTGGCATGCATTTCCTAGTTAATACCCATTATCCTGAGATATTGCTGCTTGTGTATGGCAGGATGTCAAGAGAAATGTGTTCTTCCAAACTCACCAGAGTGGCTTAAAGAACAAAAGAGGACTGATATAAAGAGAGAAGAAAGTCAAACCACAACACAATCACTGGGCTCCAAACAGTCAACAGATAGAAAATTAAGTTGGTTTTAGCTTGTTTTCAGAGAATTTAAAGGAAAAGGATGGGGGCTCAATGTATTGATTTTGTTTGTGGTTTGTGTGTGTGTGTGTGTGTGTGTGTGTGTGTGTGTGTGTGTGTGCAGTGTTGGGAACTGAACCCAGCCTCAAGAATGCTAGGCAAGCACTCTGTCACTGAGTCACATCTCCACCCTAATATCTATTTTTTAGACTAGAAGAAAGCTAAGCTATTCTAAAGTAGGGCCAAGGGTATAAGTTTTAGAGTCATACTGATCAGAATTGAACCTTTGTTCTAAAACATACTAAAGCAAGACTAACTGATTAAGAGCAATTATTATGCCTTATGTTAGTGTTAAGGTGAAAGAGTGGTTGACAATTCTGTTTCTATACTCACATGACAGCTAACATGAGAAGAATTCTAGGAATCCAAAGGTTCTAAGGAATGCTGGTATCACAAGACTCCAGTAACATTTGTGTGGTGAATAAACATAACCAGAATGTGTTGCTGTCTGTGGTGCTGAATCCACTGTGCCCTCACTTCTATTCCTGCCTCCTTTGCTTCCTTCTGATCCACATTCCTTCAACCTTCTCTGTGGGAACTGTCTACTTTTTTCCTAGTACAGGTGGCTTTTGAGTGGTGTCCAAAAGGGTGAACTCAACTTTCCAGACAGTAAACACAACAAAAGTAGCAATGTGGAAAACAACAGAAAATCATATAAGAACATGATGTGTTTGATAAGCACTCTGATTGTTTCCAGTCACCAGTAACCACAAACACACTATGGCAAGCATTCTCAAACATGTCCCCTTAAGGATCTGTGAGACAATTTCTTTAGCATTCTTGCCCATGAAAAGTATTTATGGGTCATAGAGAACACATAAATTCAACTAAGTATAAGATAAAATCTCACTGTTGTCCTCATTTTACTTTACAAGTGTCCTGAACAACACAAGAGAAGCTTCCACACTTTCTTTTACCTCAGTGTTAGTGGACTGAATACTGACTACTTCTTCCTGGGAGTATCCTGTCATTTCTCATTATTCTCAATCTCATATTAAAATTTTGAAGGCTTTGTTTCTTAGCTTCATTTTTCTCTACTTAAATATTTTTAATCTCTCATTATCCTTTTGCATTTTTTGGCTGTACTTGGGTTTGTTTGCTAGGCAGGTGTTCTACCACTTGAGCCACTCCCCCAGGCCTTTTTTGCTTTAGTCATTTTTCAAGTAGGAACTCACGTTTTTGCCTGGGGCAAGCCTGGGACTGCAGTCTTCCTGCCTATGACCTCTTTGTATACCTGGGATGATAGATGTGCACCACAACACCCTCCTTATTGGTTGAGATGGAGTCTCACTAACTTTTTTCCCAGCATGGCCTCAAACCTTGATCTTTCTGATTTCCATCTCCTGACTAGCTGGGATTACAGGCATAAACCATGGTATCCATTCCTTTTGTGTTTTTAAAAATGAAATTAGGAGCTGATAGAGTGGCTCAGGTGGTAAAGCATCTGCCTAGCAAGTGCAAGACCCTGAGTTCACACCCCAGAACTGCTAAAAAACAGAAAACAAAAAGCCCTGAAACCTAAATTAAAGAAGTACATGTGAACCAGTTAGCTTCAATCACATGGAAGAAAATTAGAGCCTTTAATTCATTCACTCCAACAAATAAATCGTTACTAAGGAAATTTGTAGGGGGACCCCAACTTGTATCATGTTGCCCTGTGTGCAGCTAGTATTATTACACTGAGGTGCATTTGCTGTATAATGTGAAGCCTATCTACTCCCTCACAGACACATCCCCAATCTGATGCTGCCTCCCACTTCTTACCATCACAAACAATGCCATGATGCACATCATTGCACGCATTCCCTTATGGAGCTATGGTAGTATTTCCTTGGGGTATATACATTAGAGTATAATACCTTGGACACAGGTTACATGTTCTCTTAGCTTGATTAATACTTTCTAGCAGTTTCAAGACTCTCTACAGTTCAACATTACTGCCAACATTTCTGCCTATGATATATATTTGTATAAATGTATATCAGACTATCCCAATAAGACATACAAGAAAGGTGGACAAAATTCAAAAACTAATCTGTTTAAAGGCATCAGAAAGCTACCAAAGTAGCCAAAACATGAAGGTTCTGGATTCCAAATAGAAAGAAAACTCAATGAATGAAATTAAGTTGTTTCTCTTCCTGAAAAATTTACCATTTCTTGGGTGTTTTGGACTAAGAAGTTAGCAAGCCAAATAGAAAGTAATTTCTAAATGGCAAAGAAAATTATTTGAGATCTCAATACTCATTCAGGACTGATGAGATGAAAACTAGAGTTTAGGACTTCCCAGACAGCCGGAACTTGAAAGATCCAGACTCTAATCAAAGGGAAGCCAAAAATGGTAACCATATCACTTTACTTGGCTTTTCCCTTGTGGTGCATACACCTATTTATAAGCTACACAACTCTAGAAGTGCAGCCAATCAGAAAGTTTCCATTAATAGGTTAAATAGGAAAGTAGAGTCTTTGAAAGAAAAAAAATTAGAGCTCAAAAGATTTCTAAGGTAAAGATATGCTTCTTTTTTTTTTTTCATTTTTCTTTTATTATTCATATGTGCATACAAGGCTGGTTCATTTCTCCCCCCGCCCCCACCCCCTCCCTTACCACACACTCCACCCCCTCCCGCTCCCCCGCTCAATCCAGCCAGAAACTATTTTCCTTATCTCTAAATTTTTTGTAGAGGAGTCATAAGGCATAATAGGAAGGAAACAAGGGTTTTGCTGTTGAGATAAGCTATAAGGCTATACAGGGCATTGACTCACATTAATTTCCAGTGCGTGGGTGTTACCTTCTAGGTTAATTCTTCTTTTTAAGAATGCCAGAATTCTTAATTTGGCATTTCAGTTA